GCTGGATCCAGCTGGATTGCTGGATGAGGGATCCAGCAATTGCAATCCCTAGATGAGACATGGGTCTATGGATATAGACTCAAAAAGGTATGAAAAGTTCAGTCAAATGTGGATCTTGCTCACTGTTTTGCTCATCAGAATTGAACAAATTCTGGTGCCATTCAACAGGAATTTCTTCCAAAAGGAAAGACAGTAAATAAAGAGTACCATTTGGCAGTGATGAAATGTCTTCATAAAGCAGTGTGAAAGAAAAATCAGACTGCTTGGAGAGAACAGCATAGTGACAATGCTCCTGTCCACACAACACTGCTGATAACAGAGTTTTTGGTCAAGAACTCAATGCCACTTGTTCTCCAACCTCCAAATTCCTCAAACTAAACTCCAGCAGGCTTCTTTTTGTTTCCGACATTAAAATCTGCTCTCAAATGTCATCATTTTGAACCTACTGATGCCATTAAGGAAAATTCACTAGCGGTGCTGCACATCATCTCAGAAGAAGCATTTCAAGAAGCGTTTTTTTCAAGGTAGAAATGATAAATTCAGTACATAAACTCAGGAGGGGACTACTTTGACAAAACCGACTAGCTTCTAGGTAAATGCAAACAACTTCTATTTTCAAAGTTCACAAACTTTCCAGACAGACCTTTTATTCCTTACAGAATGTAAACTTTTAAGCTTAAGCTTTTGTTTTAATCAAGTAAAGCATATTTAATTTAGATTACATGCATTTAAAGTAAATTCAACTAGGAATTCATTTACAAGAAATTATATGGTATTCTGTAATTCATTTAAAAACATAAATCTTGAATTTCCAACAATAGTTCAGTATCATTATATCAGATGCAGTCTCAAACTAATGTGACGGCAAGATGAAATTCATGTAAATAAAACTTATTTATTTATTTATTGTAATTTCAAATAACAAAATGATGATTTAAATCCAAGATTTAATTTTTATTTATTTACTTTTTATAAAACATTTATGAAAAATGTTTATTAAAAAATATACATATAACCATTTATTTTGAAAGTGGTGTAAATCTAGTTTTTCTTCTTTTGAGATACTTAAAGGTTTGCATTTTATTTGAATTAAAAATATAAATAAAGTGTACTAGATTTGGCAATGTTTCTATAAATTTAGAAATATGTAAGTTGATTACATAAATGATTTGTATGTAGGGTTTCTCCAACAGAATCCCAGGATCCGAAAAATCTGGGATCCTAGCTTTTTTTAATACAGGAAATCCCACAAATTTCTTTAAATTTCACTTTTTTCTTATTTTCTGTTAGAGTTGAGAAAATTTTGCAAATAGAAAGTATAATTAACCCATAAACTGTCAGAATATATTTGTATTTATTAATTTTAAGCCTATTTATTAGATTTTTAAATTTTTACTTATGGCAAGTCACAGATTGTTAATAATCAATATATAGCCTATTTGTGACAGGACTCTGAAAATTCTTTACTTGTCAGAACCTGTAATATCTGGAATAATTGTGCTTATGTTGTATTAATTTTTTAACCATGTCCAGTAACTTCAATAATTGCATTATACCAGGTTGTGTGAATTGGGCAAGGATATAAAAAAGTACAAAGTATGAAGTTTTCTTCATAAACCTGATTATTAAAGCCAAATGAACTACCAAATTATCGTGCTATAAACTTGATGCTGCTATTAAAGCAGCCAAGGTAGACAAATCAAGAATACTAGAGAGAAAAAGAAGTATTACAATATTTGTGAAAATTTCTACACAATTCAAAAGTAATTTTTTATACATATTTTACAAAGCATTATTATTATTATTATTATTACTTTTGGAGGTTGCAGGACATATTAAGTTACTTAAAAAATGAAAAATAATTATAACTTCTATATGACTTCTACACGCACACCGGAGTGTGTATAATAAAAAATTCAACTTATTTAAAAATAATTATATCATTCAATTTTAAGATTTATTTTAAAAACAATTAATTATATCCCATGATTTTCCCAGATTATCAGGACAAGCAAAAAATCGGAAAATGAGAAACCCTACCTGTGAATTTAACTTAACTAATATATTCTTTATGGATCAGTTGTAAACAGACTTATACCACTTTCATAATTATTGAACTCTAAAAGTCATTAAGATAATTTCAATTATCTAAAATTCAATTTCACTTGTAATATTGGTTTGAACCAAAAGTTCGTTCGTGCTTATCAAGTTTTAACTTGTTTAGGTTGACATTACGAATATTTGCTTATTTATTTCATAAGTTTAATTACAACTATTTTTTAAAATTTTGTTATCTTTTAAAGGAAAAACCATTAAAATGGAAAAAGGTGCATTTTCAACAACTCATGCTCTATTATTTCTGAAAAGGAAAAAATATGACATATGCACATATCTTTTTTGAGTTTTTATAGCGAGGATGCAGTTACTGATTGATTAAACATGCCAGAAATGGTTTTCAAAATTGAGGGAGGGAGATTTTTCTCTTGAAGATGCACCTCTGTCAGGACAGCCTTCAACCATAGAAGATGAGTCCATAACAGCTTTAATTCAAAATGATTGGAATAAAACAACACAAGAAATAGCCAACATCTTGAAAGTATCCCAAACATCTGTTGTCAGACATTTGGCTAGCCTTGGATACACTTCCCGTTATGATATTTGGGTTCCCCACCAATTAAGTGAATGAAATCTTATTGATTGTGTTTCTGAGTGTGATTCACTTTTAAAACACAATAAAGATGATCCCTTTTTAAAGCAATTAATCACAGGAGATGAAAAATAGATCATTTACAACAATATTCAATGCAAGAGATCTTGGAGTAAACCAGGTAATCCTCCAGTGCCGCAACCTAAAGCTGGTTTGCATCCCAAAAAAGTAATGATTTCAATTGGTGGGATTGGAAAGGGGTTCTTTATTATGAGCTTTTACCCAACAACCAAACAATTAATTCCAATAAATATTGTCTCTAACTGGATGAACTAAATGCTGTAGTGCATCAAAAGTGTCTGAAACTTCAAATTGATGGGGAGTGATATTCCATCATGATAATAAAAGACCGCACATATCGTTAAATGTGCGCCAAAAACTTCTAGACTTTAATTGGGCTGTTTTGAGTCACCCTGCATATTCTCCAGATATTGCTCCCTCAGACTATCATCTTTTACATTCATTGCAGAATAATTTAAATGGCATAAATTTCAATATTTAGAAGGTATCAAAAATCACATCAATAATTTCTTCAATCAGAAACCCACCCAACTCTACACAGATAGAATTTTGAAACTACCCATCAGGTGGCGTAAGGTTATCAAGCAGAAGGGTGGCTACATTGTGAATTAAAGGTTTTTATTTATTTCAAAATAGTATATTTTATTTCTTTCTAAAAATTGAATGACCTTTCAGTTCAACCCAATACATTGTTTTTTTTCTGAGTTTGTTTATAAATAATAAGAATAAAATAGTGTTGTGCATTTAGTTTTAGTGTTAGTATTGTTTTGTTATTGCAGTGTTGTTTATTCTCAACATTAAAAATAGTTTACTTATTGTTAAACTATTTTTATGACAAGTTTATCATTATTATCCTCATCCTCTGATCCTAAGACTCTAATTCATGGGCTTTATTTCTGTGTTATTATATTTACAATAAAATAAAATATCTTAAACTGTATTAAAATATTGATTTATTATTACTTCCTACCTGTATCACTATTTGATGTTAATATTAAATTATTTTCTTCTATAAAAATGGATAAAGTAATTGCAAGAAATACTTTAATACTTGAAATCTCAGGTCTACATTTAGATATGATCAAATTAATAATGATTGTAAGAATATGTTTTTAAAGAATACTTTGCTGATTTCCAATTATACAACTTGTCATGACATATTCATACATACAATATCATAACTGGGTGCAGAGGTGACTAATTTTGTTTTTCATTTCATCTATTTCCATCACATTATGTTTTTGATGGTAAAATTCATAGTTCAGCACTCCAAACAACCTTTACAGCTCCAGTGGTATGTGTTTACACCTTAGCAAACGTTTTCAACCTCATCAAGGTCTTCATCAGGCTACTTTAATGTGGAATTCGAACGTGTGTGGAACGGAACATATACGATTCAAAATTTAGAAAAACAGATTTAAGAATACTCATGGAACGTTACACACATGCTGAAATAACTGTAAAGTACATGTAATATCAAGTTTGTGCAACGGTAGAAGCAGACGAATTATACACAATCATTTATGGAAATGAGTTCCCTCATAACAAAACTTCCACGCGCTAGATATACCGACCGCATCTCTGGAGTTGATGCACGTGCCACGTAAACATTCCACACACATTTGAATTCCACATTAAAGTAGCCTGATGAAGATCTCGATGAGGTTGAAAACGTTTGCTAAGGTGTAAACACATACCACTGGAGCTGTAAAGGTTGTTTGGAGTGCTGAATTGTAAATCCTCTGGTGTAGGAAGAAGTCTATTTCTTATAAAATTCATAGTTTTATTCCTTTCTTATAAGTGCTTAATTAAATTACAGAAAATGGACTTACACCCCTTTCATAATTAATGATTATGCAATGTTATTTACAATTTTCAACTGATCAAAGCATATGGTTATTTTAAAATACTAAGTGAGAATTGTTGATAAATAATAAGTTCACACTAAAGTACAGTATATGTAAATTATGTAATTTCTCAATTTTTTCCAAAAACAGACTTACACCACTTTCAAAATAAATGGTCCATATATTTGGTAAACAAAAAATTTGTTTTTTATTATTTCAAAATAAAAATTAACGTTTTAAGATTCAATGAGAATTTGAAGTGAATATCTATTATGAAAATCACAAATCTTGGCAACCATGTGAAAATCAAAAATAAATTAGACAAGGTATATGTATGTCTTCTAAAATCTTTTTTAAAAGATTTTAAAAGACATAAAAGATTTTTTTTTGGATTTGAAAAATTATAAAAAAATTTTTATACTTACATATTTTATACGTTTCTGGTAAATCACCTTCAGAAAAGTTTTCATTATAAACAGCAATCAAAGTACTGAGATCCCTTTGTCCAATTGACATCTTAAAAATAAATAAAAATAATGAATAAAAGTGTTAAATGAATTTAAAATCTAATGTTTAATAACAATAAAGTTATTTTGTTCATTTCAAAATATTTTTTGCCATAACCATAAAAATTTAACAAAAAATATTATCAATGTAATAGTGTATTCATTTACTACATAAATTTACAAAGATTAACTCACTTTGTGTCAACTTCACATTTAGCATACTGAAGCATATACAAGGGGAGACCCAAAAAAAACCAAACTGAGAGCACACTGCTATTTGTAGACGTAGTAGAGAGTTCTCCCATTAGATGAGTTTAGTAGAGACTTTCATGAAACAGCTGTGCAGATGGCATCAGTTTGTAGGTTTACGTTTGAGTGTAGTGTTGTATTTCTCTTACTGTTATTTTGTTCCGCCTGCGAAGTTCTTGGCATCCTTCAACATCTCGAAACGATGAAAACGTTGAAAAGATCTACCAAAAAACTTTTTAAGACGTCTGTGAGAGGATGTGCGAAGAAAACACCCAGAACTTTGGTGATCAGGTGACTGGTTCTTTCATCATAACAATGCCCCCGCGCACTTGGCCTTATGAGTGACCCACTATTTGGCCTCTCGGGGATGGCCTGTCGTTCCCCACCCTCCGTATTCACAAGACCTAGCCCCATGCGACTTTTTTCTGTTTCCAAGAATGAAGAAAAATATAAAAGGGAAGAATTTTGATAATGTGGAGGCGATAAAAACAGCTTCCCTAAGGACACTGGACGATATCAAGGTTGAAGAGTTCCAGCGATGCTTCAAACAGTGGGGAAAAAGACTTGACAAGTGAATCGCATCTAATGGAGAGTACTTTGAAGGTGACTGAAGGAATTTTGTAAAAAAGTTAATAAATAAAGTTTTTATACAAAAACTCCGGTTATTTTTGGGTCCCCCCACGTATGCTAAATATCATACTTAATATCAACATTACAATGAACTTATCTTAATATTACCCATACAACAGCAATATCAAAATTTTATATATACCATATTTACTTGCATTTAAGACGAGGTTTTTATTCATTTTTCACTGTTTCAAAAATCTAGGTCACACTATACACACGAGCAAAGGACTCTATGCATTTTTGCAATAATTTTTGTGAACCGTGTATTCACATTTTTTACTGGATATTCACTGCCCTGTGTTTAAAAACAAAATTATTTTATCTGGGTTGTTTGGATTGTTCTTGTGTATTGTTAGGAGTAAATATGAATAACAATAGGAAAAGTGAAGCATTTGAATTAAATTCCAAATTGAAATTCCAAAATCACATGGAAGCCCAATATAAGTTTTAATCCATTCCCACATGAAAAGAGATGATTATCATAGGCGTAGCCAGGAAGGGGCATGAGTGAGCACAGCCCCCCCAGTTAACCTGGTGCCCCTCCCCAGAAAATCCAAAAAGTGTTGAGCCAATTTGCAAAAAGAAATAAAAAGCTGAAGCTAATTTAATTGGGTATAGTGTACTCACTGAAAGTCTAGATCAGACATAGCCAACATATGGCCCACTTAATGAATTTATGCGTCCTGTGACTAATCTTTGAATATTGGACTTCAAATAATTGGTCAAATGGATCTGTGATAATTCCTTATATCCTCACAGTGTGAAGTGGTAGAAAGTTGAGAAATTCTGACCCCTAAAAAAAAAGTCAACAGCTATCTGTGCCCAATGTGAAAAGTGTATCTGTAATCTCTATGTACAGTCTAGTCTCTACGGGGTGACACCACAATAAGATATCGCATCACCTGAAAATCTTGATAGGGCCGCCTTTGGTTCCGCCAGTGAAAAAAGTTTTCTTTCCAATTCAGCCCAGGGGAAAAACTGTTGGTCATCCCTGGTCTATATCTAGATTAAAGATGGTGAACTATATTAAAGAATGGTAAAAAAAATAATTGATTGGTTAATTTTTGTTTAAGGCATTGCTAGAGTTTGATATTAATGTTATGAGAACATATGATTAAAGTAAGTTTCATATTATATGTGTGTTAAGTTATTGTCGATTCTTATGGAAGTTTCATTTTAATGAACAATAATTTGAAATTGTTGTGTTGTGAATGTGTCTCTTTAATCCGATCAATTCAGTTCGGTAGACTATCAATACAGCTTTCAGGTTAGATGCTTCTTTTATTGCATTTCGGACTTATATGTATTTTAAGTCCCTCTTCAGTTCAAAACTACAAATTATTTTTTAAAAAAAATACAATTAGTAAGATGACAAATTCTTCGCGTGTAGATCATATTTACTGACATAAATCTAAGTGATATTTTAGAATAATTTGAAATAATTCAATTTTGTGTCAGGCTGGCAGCTACTAGGCTCCCCATAACAAAATTCTGGCTACACCAATGATGATTATTCAGAAATCAGAATTTAGAGAAACTTATAAGTGTAATCAACAGAGAGTGGATTCGACTGTTAAGAATTGGCAAAAAAAAATTCCCAATTGTCCAGCTTTACATAAACAAATTATGTTGTTGATTTTACAAGATTTTCCTTAAAGTTTATAATGCTAGTACTTTTTGCAGAACAATGCATGCAATTATGTGCATTTGATATTTTATTTGTAATTAAACGAAATAGAAATGTATTGATAAATCTAAGTTTCTTTATTTTGATCTTTAAAGTCACACCTCGCCTTATATGCAAGGTTTTCTTATACACAAGTAAATACAGTAATAAAAATTCAATATTTAAATGAAATATATCAGTTTAAATATTGAATTTAAAGGCTTCAAATTTCTTCTTAATATAATAATATTTATAACAAATATTTTCTTAAAAAGTTAAAATCTAACTTCAAAATGAATGAAACTTGGCAATATTTTTAAATTTTTAAGTTGATATATCTGTTTAGTAAGAAAACTAAACCATTCATTAATCCAGAAACAATTATTGACCTAATAAATGCTGAAAACAAAATTTTCTGTCAAAATGTAGCTAATAAGAGTTTACATTGATATTCACCCTAGTCACATAGTCCTATATCAATTAGAAAAATGGTGGATACTCTTTGCTAGCATGTGAAGAAACTGAAAGAAATTTAGATCTAAATTTGATGTATTTAAAATTTTTCATTAAACTTACTACTTTTAAACATATTTCACCTTGATATTTAGTTAGGCCTTTGTGAAGCATGTTAACTGTAGTTCATGTATTGCATGTGGTTAGACTTAATCATATATATTATTGTGGCTGTCTTCCATATTTATATTTTATATATGATTGTATATAGTATAAGAGCTCATTTTCCCTTTCCTAAAATTCATCTCACTTCTACTTTATGCCTTTCCTGTCATGTGGCACAGACCTTTGGTGAGTCCTGATTAACACAAGAAAAAAGGGGTGAATAATGGGTCCCACATGAAGGAATCACAAGAGAAAGAGTCAGGGATTTGGTTGTCAAAGAGTGTGAACATCAGATCACAACTGAGGAGAGATCTTGACTAAGGTCTATAAGTATTAGTAGGAACAACTGCCCAAATAGGACTGTAACAAGAAGTTACAAATTAGTAAAATACTGGAACTAGCAAGTAAGGTTGGACTTTCTCCAAGTGCAAAGTGTACCAAACTTAGGACCACGTGTAAGGAAACATGTACAGTATTGTAACCCAGTTACTAGATTAATAAGTGAAAGAACCTTTATCTATGTGTGAGGAGCCTTCCTGTAACATCAATTCCAACAAAGATATCATATAATTGTTGATGACAATGGATTGGGCAAATCTAACTGACCAACATGAAACAAAGCATAGCATCGATGATTGCCCAACAATTTACATCTAAAATACGAATGGGAAGGTACCGGACCTTCCCATTCTGATTCTTATTCTTATCATTCTTCTCTTCTCAATCTTAGTCATAATTAGTTATAGTTTAGTTTTTAAGTATATCTGCAATTTACCATTTTTGTCAGAAGAGACAAGAAGTGGAGAGTGGTTGTAACTACGTCTTGTACTTTCCAACAAGCGGGAATCTGTAATCTGCCCCTCAAAATTTGTATAATAAACGCACATTGACTTGTTTTTTTTTTTTCGTCTGGTACCCTTTAAATTGTTTTCAAAACAATTTAAAACTCATTAATATCAATTATTATCAGATTTCTACCAAATAAGCTGAGCTGAGCTAGAGCTCAAAATTTTTATGATCAGCCCAGCTCTTAGCTGGAATCCAGCTAAGAGCTTTTGCTTACACAATCTATAACCATTTTATTTCAATTGCTGCTTTTGCTGCTGCTACTGCTACAACACAATATCACTACAATAAAGCTATTCCATATTGTTCTGTATCACAATGAATATGTTTAGTATGTATATAAAAATAAAATTATAAAAACCTGCTTCAACCTCAGTCCAATCAGGTAAAAATGACTCACTTTCCCATCTATAGGTAGCTTTAGAGATTTTTGACAATTTTTTTTATTCGTTAAAGTACATCCAATTTATTGCATAATTTTTGAATTTATATAATATTTATTCTTTATATAATAACATAAAGAAAAAACAATGCATAATATGCATTTTTTTTCTCTTGTCTCTTCTGATTTTTCTGTTATTCTGTATATTCCAAGTTTTTGTAATTTGAGATAGTCTTGGTCCCATCCACTTTGAATTAACTGAACTGTACCACACATGTTTAGCTAAAGAATTACTAAAAGTAATGAAGGGTAATATTTTAAAATGATAATTTTAAAATATTACCCTTCATTACTTTTAGTAACTCTCTTAATCTAAAAAATTGTTTATAGTTCAATTTCTTAATGCTCAAGTAGTTTTTATTTGAATGCTGTCATTTTAATAACAGATATATGAAAACATATCCAATATACTACATAGCCTATCTGTTATTATTATAGATGCAATTTAATTTCAAAAATGGACTTTGCTGCAACACACTTCTGCTCAGCTCAGTCCAGCCTATAGTTTACCTGTCAATATCTCAGCTCAATTTTGTATTTCTAAATAACTGAGCTTTGCAGAACACTATATTATTATTGAACTACAATTTCAAAAAATTGTACACCTATAAATTGCAACTGTCATCATCTATCTGTTTGTCTTTCCTTAATCTCGAGAACGGAGTTAGAAAGATGAAATCTGAGACCAGTTATGGAAACTTTAGGGGAAGTAGGCGCCAATTAACTATATACAGACTTCTGATGCAAACTGGAAGTCATGTTATTTCAATTCAAAACTTTTCCCCTGAAAGTAGTTAATAGATGACTGGCAGAACTCTATTGTTAAAGGAAAAGTTTGAAGTACAGGGGCAAGTCACTACTAATTTGAGATGGAGAACATATATTTTAAATGAAATAAATTTAAAATATGATTAAAAATTACAGCCCAGCATTGTGATAATGTCACAATAAATAATTGCCCATTGTTTAACTAAATTATCACTTAATATTTGTCATTGTATAAGCAAAATACAATTATTATTAATAACATAATACCTATACAGGTATACCTTGAGTTTCATCGTTCTTGATTATACGTTGTTTGTCAAAAAAATATATGGAAAAATAAAAATCAAGTTTAAGTCATTTTATTTGACTTTATATCTGTCAAATATTGAAATCATAATATCACTAGAAAAGTGTTAAAAGTGCACAAAATCATATTAAAATACATTTACAGTAAATGTTAATATAATCATCATAAATCGTAGAGAACAAAATATGAAAACATCTGTGACTCTGTGTTGTCGTCTTATTTAGCGGTCTTTAAGAGCTCGATATTGGCATTTTCCACAGTAGTTCCAATATCTACTGTTTAGCATCATTGTCAGCACCACTTGATATTGGTAAATTTAACATAAATTAGTTTACTTTTTACTATCGCAAAATAATTTTAATAACTGTATTTGTTATTTAACCTTACAAAATCATCTTATTTTATAATGTCTTAGAGCAAACCACATTGACAAATACAGTCCATGATGTACTGTAAACATTGCCAAATTGTAAACATGTATATTTACAAGTACATACATACCTGTACATGTATTCATAAATTTAGATTACTTTTTTTCTGTACTATATTAAAAACTAAAATTTTTGTTTGTAAGCTTAAAATAGATTCTTATTAATCATATATTATTAAAAATGCATTTATAAATAAAATACTGAACTTGGAATGGTTATTTGTAGTTTAGCCTAGTGACAAGTAAATTCAACTTATGTTGTTTTTCAACTTAAGTCGCCTCTCCTGGAACCACTTATCGACGTAAGGAGAGGTATATATGCATTTTAAAATGTCTACACTATATTAATATACAGTAGAATCTCGTTTTAACAAATCATGGAACAACGGATTTCTCAGAATAATGGATTTTTTTTCCTAGATCCTGCCAAATTAATGTAATTTTACCTCCTTTTAGCATATCCATAACTTGAAATAACAAATTTTTTCTATCCCATCTATTGAAAACTTTATGTTTTAGTTAATATTTGGGTGTTTCCAGGAATTTATAGAGTTTGAGAGAATAATAGAGGAATTTATAAAGTTTGAGAGTTTAAATAGAATTTATAGAGCATGATAAACTTTTTATCTGGGAAATGTACTGTATAATTTAAGAATTTTATGAAGAATGTTAGCAGCCTGATATAATTGTGGAGTAGCCTAGTAAACATTCTGATGCTGATTCAAGTGTAGTACTGAAATTTAACAAGGCCATTGAGTCTTTTCAAATCACAAAGACCTTCCTCATGAATTTCAGCATAAACAAACAGGATGACATGACATTGCTAATATCAAGCAGTTGTATTCAGTAGCAGTGCCAGATTAACCAATAGACAAATAAGACAAATGTCTAGGGCCTGTAATTCAGAAGAACCCAGCTCTTCCGAATTACAATAATAATGAATTTAACGAAAAATAAATAATAATAAATTTTAAAAAAATAAAAAAATATTTTTAAAATAAATCTTTAATAATACAGAATATTTTTGTTATCCTAATAAATTCATATTACAAATGTCATAGTAATTGATAAAGTATAAATGTCATAATAATTGATAAAGTAATAAAATCGGATTCTGTGCTACATACTGCACCAGTGTATAGTGCACATGAGCTATGTATACATGATAACTCCAAATATGCATACTGTACATGTATATTCACTGTTCATTGTTTGTCCATTTGCAACTACAGTTGTTATTGTAACAAATAACATAAACATTTTTACATTTATTTGACAATATCCAACATCAAATTTGATGCTAATATTGAAGAAAGACCTAGAAAGCAGAAGCAATTTTTTGAAGAAAATGAAACAGATGAAGATAACAATTTAACTGATCAGCAGGTTTTAAAATAAATCATCTATGCAACTCCATTCAGGAGAAAATTTTTGAATTGAAATCACATGACTTCTGGTCTAGACTGAAAGTTCATATATAGTTAATTGGAGCTTCCTGCCCCTAAGCTTTCCATATCTGGTCTTGATTTTCATATATCTAACTCTGTTCTGTAGATTAAAGAAGGACAGACAGCCAGATGATAGTGGAAATTTATAGGTGTACAATTTTTTCAAATTGAAGCCTGTTTGTACAATTTTTTCAAATTGTAAAAATTTTTTCAAATTGTACAAATTTTGTCACAAATAACATAGAATGTTTCATTCTATGTTATTTGTGACAAAATTTGTAGCAAAAGTCATATGAAATACAAAAAAAATATCAAGAAATTAACAAAATATTTCAATTTTTTTAGAAAATTTGAAGATTTAAAGAATACTTTGGATTATACAAGTGAAATAAAAAATGTGTACTTTAATAACGTTGATGTTGAAGAAGTAGACTATGAGCTGACACAATTTATTCTGTTGGTGAGAAAACAAAATTTGCAAAGCCCAAATGTTATGTACCAGTTTATAAAAAATAGCAACATTCCATTTTATTTTCCTAATACCGAAATATTGTTAAGAATTTACTTAACTATGCCTGTAAGTAATGCAAAAGGAGAGAGATCTTTCTCTGTTTTAAAGTGAGTTAAAAATTAATTAAGAAATTCAATAGGACAGGAAAAGCTAATGTCTTTAGCAATGCTTGCTATAGAAAAAGATACTCTCAAATGGCTAGGTTGCAAAGATATTATTGATCAATTTTCTGAAATGAAAATCAAAAAACAAAAAATTTAAATTTTTTAAATGACCATAATTATATATATTTTTCATTATATAAGAAACTCTTTTATTATACAATTATTATTATATTTTGTATTCTCTATTATTAGTAAAAATTTTAAGTAACATTATTTACGATTTCTTTACAAACAAGTTATTTAAATGGGGCCCCAATTTAAATTTTGTCTAGGGCCTGTTAGAGGCTTAATCCGGTACTGTTCAATAGACAGAAAAGTGGCATCAAAACAAACCAAGATGAGTGAGTTTTTTAACAAATCATGAAATCAAGTGAAGTGCTAATAAGCATACATAATTTCTCTCTTTTTGTGCTTACAGTATATACTGTACAGTTTCCATCAGTTTTGTCATAGAAATGTATGGCATAGCATATTCTCTTGTAACATACATCTTTCTATAAAACAAAGAATAGAGATTCCCACTGAATAATTTCAATTACAGGTATTTCTTATATGTAGAGGGTTAAAACATGGAAAATTTTTTGAATATTTTTTCTGGGTGTACAGGAAATCCATTATTTGCAATATAACAGATTCTCAGAACAATGGATGATTTTCAGCAGCCTAAGTGATCCATTAAAATGTAATTCTACTGTATAGAAAAAATTAAATTTTTGTGGCAGTATCTTCAACAAATTTTTCCAAAATAAAGATGTATATGATTTTTGCTTCAATCAATAAAGTTATCAAATGAATGAAAATTTTCATTTGTAAAATATATGTTATTATTACAACTTCAAATATTTATTTATAATACTTACTTTTATAATGTCCATACTACCTCTTATGTCATAAAATAATATATCCCTATGATAAGGAGGTAAAGATCTTTTTATATCCAAACGTAATTTCATTGGTTCTAAAATTGCCTCTTGGTTTTCCATATTTCCATCCAAAAGAATAATAGCTCTGAAATTTAAACTGTTATTAAACTGTTATATGAAATAAAATAGTGATTTATTATTTAATTCTGCTTTAGACAAGGAACTGTTAAATTTTCTTTGTCCTTGGTACTTGAACTGACTGCAGTGTAATTATGATAATTTGCAACACTCTACCTCATTAAAAAATTAATTATATTTATAGTTCAGTATATTACACAAATATCAATTAATTTCCTAAGACAACTTTTTTACAAATTGTCTCCCATTGTTAAAATTTTACATTGACTGATAACAGTCTTTTCTCAATTATATGAAAGACCAGAAATAATCAAACATAAAAAAGTATAAATAAATTTAAAACATAATAAAACTAATATAAAGTAAAAAGCATAAAAAAATTTTTTGGAATTTAATAAGAACATGTACAGAAAGCAATTAACAAAATAGTGAATTTGAAATTAAAATAAATTTTTACTTTATTAATTTTTAACTTAAAATTAATAATCAACATATTAAAACATACTCTTCTAAAATTTAATATTATGATTTACATATTTGAGATTTTATTAAATTTCAATATACACAATAAACTATAATAAACAACAATAAACTTTTGCAAATCAGAAAATTTCAGCTTCATAATTTGAAAAATTACTACAAATATTGAACTTTAAACCCCTTGTCGTCCGGTCCCTAGTTAACTTGGGCAAGTTACATAGCATTACATAAAACGCGGTCCTTTTGGCCCCCCAATTTTTTTTTTTTTTTGATTTTTGGAATGTTTTTTAAGTCTCCAAATTTTTTCAAAAATTTTTACCCGCGCAAAAAATTTTATCGCGATTTTAATTAGCCTTTGATAAGGCTTGACTAAGGCTTAATTGTTTTTTAATGGGATTTTTTTATCAAAATTAATTAATCATTCTAAAGTTGTAGTGCTCAGATTTGACTTTGGTAAAGTTATTTAAAGCTGCTTTCTGATGTCAAAAACGACCTCCAATAGTTTTTTAATTTTTTTAATTAATAGATTTTATTATATATAAATTTAATTAATTAGGGGGAAATTAGGTTGGAAATCGCAATAAAAATTTTAATTTTTTAAAAATATTTTAAAATATACGGCCAACTAGTATTCACCCTACTATAAACCCATCGCCTCCCGAGACTTCTATGAGAATGTCCCGGGAAATCCGACTCCAGCTGTTCTCAAGATCATCCAGCTGTGTAAACAATGACTCATCAGTGTCAAATTTCACAGAAAGGCAAGACAAAGGAAAATAAAATTTGAAGCTTTTTCTTCAAAATTAACGCATTTCTTTCGTTTTTTTTCAGTTTTAAGTATTTTTTATGTTTAATTAAAGATTCCTTTAAAAACACTCGTGCGACAAGTGATTAAATATGTGAAATTAATAGAGAAAGAATGTATTATACAAATATGGAGCTTCTGCCATAACAAATATATATAACATACCAAATTTACTCACTTATAAGACAAGGTTTTCAATCATTTTTCATTGCTTCGAAAACCTAGGTCGTCCTATACATGCGAGCAAAGGATTCTTTGCATAGTGGCAAATCTGGAAACACTTCAGCACATCCTCCACATAGTCTTTGTCTTCCTTTCAAGTGCATTGAACTGGTGCCACTCCTTGTACCCCAGTTCCAAATAAAATTATTATTATTTTTTAATATCTGTGATTATTTGGTCTAAAACCCAATGTTTTTGCAATAATTTCTGAAAACCATGTATAGTTCATCTGCCATTATAGGTCTACAGTCTATTTATCTTAAATTAAGACACACCCCCCTTTGTTTATTGGTTTAATCCTATGTCCATCAATTAAAACTGCATTGCATCTCATTCATCCACAGAAAATGGTTCCTTGTTATTTACAAAATTATTAATAAAATACAGGTCACCTAGCAATGATTATAAATGTAGTTATTTCATATTAGTTAAATCGTTATTTTTAATGAACATTCTCAATCATTAAAAATAAATTTTTTCTGGTTATGCACATTATAATTGTTTCAGTTTTTTTTACATTCATCACGTATTAAGGCAAACATGGTTGTTTGCCTTTATACAGTACATGCATTTGATAATATTTTATTTGTGATTAAACGAAATAAAATAGAATTGTATTAATAAATTTAATTTTCTTTATTTTGATCTCTAAAGTCACACCTCATCCTATATGCGAGATTGTCTTATACACGAGTAAATATGGTAATTAATAATAATCAAAATAGCAACTTACCTTGACATTTGTAAAGAGTTTAATCTAAAAAGAATATTGTCAATAAAATATTGATTGTTAGCTATCTGAACTTCTTTAAAAAAGTTTTCTATACTCAAATCTCCCAAATTCAAAAGAAGTAAATTAGGTGAACTTGACTTTTGAGGAAGTAAAACAGTTGGGGCATGGATATCAATTGATAACTGCAATCTTAAACCACTCTTTTTATATTCTAGTACCTATTAAAGTAATTATGTCCATTAAATTTTAATTTTTGTAGAAAACTTTGAATACAGAATTTTAAAACATTTTATTTAAATTATTACTTGTTCCTGTAATGCATTTTCTGCAGACTTTTTAGCCATTGATGTAAATTCTGGTTGAATAAAAGGTTCAAAAAATCTCTGCAAAAGAAACATTTAAATATTTTCAAATTACAATGATTAAAATCTAATAAATGGCTCCATGCCATTAGAAACATTTTAAATTATAGTAGTTTCCTGCAGTGTATAACCTACCAATAGTAGTGTATAACCTACATTAACATTTAGTAACAGAAAATGCTAAAATGAAAATAAAAAGATTGCATAATCTGCACCACTATACATCCTTTACCTCCAAAGTTGCCATTGAAAACATGCCATTTATTCAGTAGGTTATTTAAAAGGCATGGTCTGACATTCAATTTTTTCTTTTTTTCCCATTTCTTTCATTTTATTTCCATTAGCAATTCATTGTAAATATATTTATAAAATAAGTAAATTGTAAAAATGATATATTTGAGACAGAGTCATCTAAGTTCCATTAAATATTGAAAATATAAATAATAATAATAACTTAATAATAATGATGTAATACAGTGTCAGACCAAATATATGGCTTTCACAAAAATAGAATTACCAGAAAACTGGCTATTTTTGAAACTGACTAATTTTGAGTTTGGCAGACTGTAGTATTGTTGTAGTTTGCTATATAGCCACTTTTTTTCCTGTTGTGTAGTCATCACAGAATGCCAATTCAAGTGTGAGTGATGGCATATGGTGTCTTAAAAACAGTTTCAATCTTTATTTTCCATTGCTTATTTTATATTTTAAGTACAGTACATATTTAGCCTGTGTCCAGAAAACTGGAAAATCCAGAAATCAGGACCATTTCCAGTTTCAAGCTTACAAGATAACAACAAGGCATAACAAGGCATGTTCTGCAGTTATGTCTTGACCCTGGTCAGTTTTGTGCAGAGTTTCAGTATGCTGGAATTCTGTTTTGTTTATTCAATTACTCTTAGAAATTGCTGTTACTGTTTAGAAAAATAAATCTTTAAGCTCTGAAAATTTCTTCTTTCTATGTATTTGCAGACTAAATTGTTTTTACCCCTCAGGCTACAAGGTTGTGTAGAAAAACTAGTCAAACAACTTTTCCATCAGCCAATTTCATTTCTAACATATTAATCCAATTTTGGCTGACTTTTGTGTTTAAAGAATTAAGATTAAAATTTATTTTACTACTTTCTTCTAACTTGAAAGTTATAAAATAATTCATAATTATTAAACAGCAACTTCCCTCAATCTCAATCCCCACATACTTTATTTCTAATTTTAAATAACTTAAATCAGCATTTTCCAAATTTCTTGGTAAAATGGAGTCCTTAAGCAAAAAAGATTTTTTTGTGGAGCCCTCACAATTCATCAGAATCTTTTGCTATAAATTTGTACAATTAACAGAGAACAAATTAGGCTCTGATGTTTTATTTTTTATTATTTTAAAACTAATTACAGTAAAACCTTACAAATTAATTATATCGTATAATATGCATAATCCTTGAATTTTATATCAATTATCATAATTATAATAGTTATTTGGATAGTCATTTGAATAGTCATTATCATAATAGTTATTAGGAAAAAAAATCAGATTTTAGTATTCAATATACACAGTTAATATTAAAATAATTATAATAGTTGAATAATATACATACTACTTAAAAATAAAAAAATCTGTAGTATACTATACCTGTACTTCAGCAAAAAATCTGTATAAAAATACAACTTGAATTCTTCCTATTCGAATGCGCAGAGTACCATTAGCCACTAATGGAGAAACAGTTTCATCATTTCCAACTTCATTATGATGTGGACTATGTTTAACATACTAAAAATGATAAAATGTATTTATTACTAAACGCAAATACACATTATAAATATGTAATTTTCATATCTAAAATATCTAGAATTATAATAAATATTCATTTATGTGATCATGAATTACTTAACACAATTTTAGCCTTTATAATTTACCAATAATACTTTGACATACTAATTATAGATTGCCAATTAATAAAAGAAAAATATACTTCAAATATTAAATTCTGAATATTAATTAAGTAAATTATATAATAATAAAAATTTTATATTTTAAAAGGATTTTGTAAAACTTGGCACCATATGCAAATAACACAAAAGACCTCAATATCTACACATTCCAGTTGCCAACAAGTGAAAGAAATCACTCCTAAGCAAGTGGGAGATTTTTTTTATAATGTAGATAGGACTCTATATTGTTACTGACAGTAAGGATGCTTTGAAAGGAGTATTAGAAATCCTATTAGAAGAGCATCTACTCAAAGTAGTGTAAATATACCAAATGAAAATAAACACTTTTATTTTAAAAAATTGTGCAGGATCTTTCAAATAGTTAAAGCCACCATCAATGCATTCCTCATAGATTCTAATAAGCAATATCAGTCAAATCCTTATAAAAACCACAATAAATCCTAAAGGTAAGAGTCACCCTTCCCAAATGTCAATCAAGACAACTAGGAAAAAGACATCACCAAACGATCGCCTAAATATCAGGCTATAATACGGCTAATTAAATGATTGGAATAAAGTAATTTGACACTAGAGGTAGACGTTAGGCGCCATCTCTTAAGTAAATTAATAATTAAATAAATAAATCAATAAATAAATTTAGAATCTTCTGGAATAAAAGAACTGGCCCGGGGTGGGACTCGAACCCGCAGCCTCCGCTATGAGTGGTTGATATTTATATATATATATATACCTCGCCGGGTGTTGCGTTAGCTGGCTGAGTGCCGTTATGGCTGTGGGCGAAGGAGTCGTCCCCAGTCAGTAATGTATTTAACCAAGTAAGGTTATATCTAAATCTAATATACTTCTGGAAGCGAAGACTAGCTCGAGGGTCTGGGTAGCATAACTGGTAAGCGCGCCGCACGGCAAGCGGAGGCTGCGGGTTCGAGTCCCGCCCCGGGCCAGTTCTTTTATTCCAGAAGATTCTAAATTTATTTATTGATTTATTTATTTAATTATTAATTTACTTAAGAGATGGCGCCTAACGTCTACCTCTAGTGTCAAATTACTTTATTCCAATCATTTAATTAGCCGTATTATAGCCCGATATTTAGGCAATCGTTTGGTGATGTATTTACTACTCAGGCTATGAGTTGTTGATATTTATAGGAAAAAGACTTGAAAGCATTTGTCAAAATCAAATTAAGGTAACATTTGGTCAAAACCCATCAAGATATCTTTTTTCACCATGTCTCTAAATAAAAAGTGATAATATAGAAAGTTGGATTTAAAGTACTGGGAGGTTCATAAGTTGCACACCATAATAGTTTAATTTTTATCTATATTTAAGGTTTTTTTTGTTTATTTGTTTCAAAATGAATGATGGGTGATAATTTAATGTTGGAGGAACAAGTACAGCTGGTGTTCATGTTTGGAACACCTGGTGTGACACACTACACCATGGCCACTGAGTTTAACTGGTATCATCTATATCAAGTGCCTGTAAATCACACTGCTGTTGAATACCTGATAAACTTTTTTAAGGAGACTGAAACTTGCCAACCATACTTAAACCAGGCAACCAAAAGTGCAACTGATGAGGAGGAGGAGGAGATGTCCATGATGTTTATGGCAAAGGTTTTTAGCAGTCCCAAGAAAATCAACCAGCAAATTGAAGTCAAGAAACAGGATTAAGCAAAACCTCCATGTTGTGCATTCTGCATCAGCATTGCTTTCACCATACAAAATGCAGTTGGCTCAAGAACTGCATGAATGCTGATAACACCAAGAGATGGATGAAATTTTGTGAATGGATGCTGACACATGCCAATGCATCAATCTTTAACAGTGAAAGCAACATTCTATTTGAGTAGCCAGGTTAACAGGCCCTATTGGTTAAATAGTAATCTTTGGTGAAATGAAGATGACCATGTGCAGAATGACCCCTGTGTAGAATCATGGACTGGGCTGGAATATGAGTGTGGTTGTTCGTAATGAGAGATTTGTAAGTCTGCAAATAAACACTACAAATAGGAACACAGGAACAAAAGCGTGTATGATTGAATATTCCTTTAATGCTCTCTGAACAGGGTTCTTTTTTCTTGTTTTGTTACAAAGATCCCAACTTAACAGATTTCTTTACCCTATTATCCTCACAGGGAAATAGGTTGCCTCCTATTCTCATACAAGTATATAATATATGCGCACATAACACAAAACCTTGATAACCGACTTAAAAACTAATAAGAAATGAACCTCTTTGTAAACACCGGAGGAAATACAATTCACCACATTTAAAAAACCTTTGTAACTCCAGTGATATGTGTTTACACACCAGCGAACATTTTCGACCCCATCTGGGTCTTCATCAGGCTACGGTTATACGAAATTCGAACGTATGCAGAATGGAACAGTTCTCGAAGGCAATAGAAAGAAAATATAAGAATAGAAATAAAATAAGGAATTGTGAACTATATACAAACTACAATATGGCTGATGGCTACAAGAGGATGAAATAATCAGCCCACATTTTTTAGTGAAAATGTTGTGCAAGTACTTTGACAAGAAGTTCCCAATAGATAGATTGGCCAAAAAGATTCTGTGGAATGGCCACCCCACTCTTCTGATCTTACTACCCCTCTTATTTTTTCCCATTTAAAATCTGTGGTGTAACAGAATCAGCCAACTCTCACTGAATTGATAGATGAAATAACTAGAGAATGTCATAATATCATTTCCAATATTGTATCTACTGCCACAGAAGTGTGAAATTTTTGTTCCTCTAGATCAATTTTGTTCTGCATTCAAATTGCAACACTAATTCTGAATTTATATCTGAGTGCTACAAGTGGCTCTTTGAAATCTCAGAAAAATGGAAATCTGGTCTCCATAATTGATTTCTGAATTAATATACTAATTTTGTATTTTATTTTTATTCTATTAAATATATTTCTTACATATTGTAGTTATTCTCTGCCTATGAGTGGACTTGTGTGTTATCAAGGATTGACACATAAGAAAGCAAAATCATAAAAATCTTATACTTGTAAACATATATGTTCATATCTATGTAACAACATTTCAGACAGCATTTTGTTACCTCATTATGAACTATGGCAAATATAATTTTTGTAAACTGAGACATGAGCATTTTGACATACATTATTTTGTGCCATACACCATGACATAATATTTTGCATGACATTTAAAGAAATCACTTTGTCTAGAGAACATGGATTTGACTATAGCTGATTAAAGTGTACACACCTATGTTATTCTAATGCAGTGTTTCTCAACCTCTAATTAATCGTTGCCCCCTTCAACATAGTATCGCCCCCTTCACTACAAAATTCTGATGCCGAGGGACAAGGCTAACTCCTAATTTGTACTGCATTGAATAGACTAGTGACTAGTATAATGTTATTTGTTTAATTATTGTATGATATAACAAATAAAATATCTAATTATTCTTAATATAATGTTTTACTATATCGCTCAGAAAATTGTTTTTCGCCCCCCAAAATATAAATTGTTACTAATCGCCCTCTCAACATAGAAAAACACCCACATGGGGGCGATATCGCCCCCGTTGAGAAACACTGTTTTAATGCATGCTTCACTGTATCATCCTTTCATGGTTTGTTGAAAAACCAACAAGCAATGAATTAGTGTCAGACCATTTCACAAACCTTTAAGCAATGTCAGATATGCCACAGGACCTTTTGCCCAAAACTTTTTTCAAGTGATAACAGTACATTGTTTGTGACATTGTTACATAGATTTGAATACAGTTTAAAGAATCTTCCTTAAACAATTCTCTGTAAGCATTTAAAGAAATAATAATAATAATAAAAATAACAGCAAACAAGTTTACACCTGGAAAATACTAATATTACTAATCATTCTACAGTTATTCATTATGAAAAATAAGTAAAATTCAAATGAAAAAGAAATAATATATTCTTTTTTTTAAAAAAATAAAACTATTTTTTTATATTGTTGACTCGTGTCTAGAGTCAACAATGTAAAAAAGAGATTTATTGAGGAAGTAAAATAAATTAATAACTGTTTTATATACATATAGATTAATATAGTCAATAAAATAAATATGTAATTACTGAAAAAATTGCGTGGAGGGCGTATTTTGATGTACAATAGATATACAGCATGTGTGCCTACATATTTTATATAAACATCAGAATTTTTTAAAAAGGAAACCAGTTACAGGACTAATTTTGTTAAAGGCTTTACATCGAGCATGCGCATAACTTCAACATTCAATTTTTCAAACTCTTGGAATCGAACCTGATGATGACCATTGAAAACAGTAGAAAACATTTGTTTGGAAGTGAATTATTGCTGGTTTTTTTCAGTAATTACATATTTATTTTATTGAGTTTTCACACCAGCGTTATTATGATGGATGATTAGATTAATATAGTCTATGTGATAAATAATGTATTAAAATGCAATATGAAATTCATATAGTTTATAATTTAAATATAATCTCAGTCCACATAATGTTCATTTTAAAAGTAATTCACATCAATAATAAAAATCTGGACTGGAGAAAGATAACTAAGAAATAAAAGATTATCATAATAAATCACACCATCCACACTTTTCCAGCAGCAACATTTTAATATATAAAAATTTTTTGGCTACTGGCCTGCATCAGGTTTCAATATTAACCAAATCAAATGTCTCTAATGAAATACAAGTTTGGAACATTCATTAAAGATGTTATACACTGTAAGAAACCAAGTCCGAGCGTTATTTTTATTTACTTTTATTTTTGCTTTTTATTATATTTTTGTTTGGGGCTTATGTTTTGTTAGGATGAAGGTTTCTTCACCTTAGAAACTTAAAAATAGAAGAGAAACCAACTCACCGACAAGAGAAAAGCACCGTAGGAAAAACTCGTAAACACTTGTGCTCCCGAGCAGAAAAAAGTAAGTCCGCACCAAGAAAGGGGGGGGGAGACCCCACAAGCACAACTTAAAAACTCGTTAAACCTTAAAAGAATAAAACATCCCAAAAATTGTCAAAAAGAATGATGTAAAAGATTAGCGAGTATTGTCAGAAAATAGGCTGTCAGACAAATAGAAAAAGTTTATTGTTAGCAAATAAGTATGTAAATGAGGGGAGTGATTGCATTCAGAATTGTGATGTCACCTCACATTATAAAGACCGAACCTCAAGTGAAGATGGACGAGGTGAGCTTCCATTAGCAAGGAGCGTGGTGAGCTTCGTAGCAGCAAATGAGAGAGAGGTGTCCGATAGGATAAAATAGTTCCAAGGTGATTTTGAAGTTATTCAATTTGTGGATCGAAGATTAGAGAAAGTCTTGAGAGTTGAGGAAAAGGGTTCCTAGTATATTGAGGTGACGATTAGGATGTTTAATTCATAAGAATTATTGTATATAAGTTAAGTCTTTGAAATTTTGTCGAATTCCAAAGGGGAATAGAATTAAGTTAGAAAATAGATTGATTTGAGTTTTGTCGAGTTGATTCTTAGTGATTTTCATTGAATAAATTATTTGATTTTTACTAAATTTTGTATGTAGTTATTATTAAAATTTTATTAAATATTGGATTGTTTTTGACAAACTTTGTCATTATTTAATACGGTGCACGCTTAAAGTCCAGGCCTGAGACACTAACGCGAATCCGCATAAATTACCCGTTAGGGAACAGCTATTTCCAGAACACAGTCGTATTGATAATCGTTGGAAAAGTCAGAAAAATAATATAGTACTTTACAATACGTCCAATTTGGTTAACACTGAAACTTGATGTGTGCCCCTAAATGTGGCCTAAAACATTCGTATATTAAGGTGTTACTACTGGAAAAAGTGTGGATGGTGTAATTTATTATACATAAGTTCCAACTTACATATCAGAAGAATTTAAAAAGTTAATGTCATGAATATTCAATAGAGAAACATTGTTAACAGTAAATTGCTTAATACTTCATAGTAGTCTACAGATATATGAATAAAATTATGCATATTTTATATGTATGATTCTTAACTGTAATTGATAAATTTATATGACATACAATAAATAAATAAATATTTTCTATTATGATCAACCAAATTTAATAAATTGGAATAAAATTATCATTTAATATTTACTGTTTGTTAAATTCAGATATTTTAAAATGCATACTCTATTCCATCAATAAAATGTACTTAAACTTAATACAGTAGAGCATCGATTATCCGACTCAATTGGGGACTCAGGTTGGTCAGATAACTGAAAAAATCGGATAATCAAAAAGAATGAAAAAAAATACATTATTAGTATAGTATATTAGTATATCCCATGTAATTAGTATATTGCTGTTAACCAACTTCGCATTGAATTTTCATCAATGTTAAGCCTAACAATTTTTTTTAAAAATAATAATCATCGCTATTATATCATTAAAAATTATTTTTAAATTATTTTATTGCTCACGAAACAAACAACCACTCATAATTAGAAAATTAAGTCTCATTTAAATACTAGCCTCCCTTCTATGGTCAAGTCAGTGTTGCCAGCTAAAACACGCAAAAATTTAACAAAAATAATATTAAAGTAGCCAAGACATAGCCAAATATTGTAGTGCCACATCACTAGCAGAAATTTGAAATTTGCCAATTAGAATGATTGATTAACCGATGTGACGGTTAATAAGGGGGTCGGATAATCGATGCTCTACTGTATATCAAACTCTCAATTATCCACATGCAGATTATCTGTGCATAATTCAAAACATTAGAATTATTGTAAAATGACAGAATATTATAAGTGACATTCAGCTTTTCTTTCCTTCCTCAACTGTCAATTCTAATGGACAGAAGTAAGGTGAGTCATTAGCTCTGGAATATCATTTTGCAGTAGGCAAAGCTGTACTATAAACAGCAGATATGAAAAAATATCCTATTAATCCTAAAATTTAAAATACAGTAATTTGGAAGAAAATATAAGAATTATACATAGAAATGTAAAATTTAAATTTCTGTACAATATTTTTGAAAATAGAAGATATATCATTTTATGTTTATTGACTAAATATACATTTTATCTTATAAAACTTTGGATTCAGTTAAAACCTCTGAATAGTTTTTTATAGTTTTGAGAGCTATTTTGGATTATCCATGTTTTCTGGTTTTCCATGCACACCCATACACTAATTAACACAGATAATCAGTTTTGTGTATTGTATATCATAAAACCAGTCTTACCTTGAAATCAAATACTTTATCATCTTCTATCGAAAGTATCTATTTAATAAAATGACAATTATATTAAAATGAGGAATATAATGTAAAACATAATGAAAATTTAATATTCAAACTTAATCTACAAAAATCACTGTTACTGTATTATTTATTTGCAATTGAATTTAACTATAGTTTATTTTTTGGGCATTGCATTAATTATACAAAATATTGTTATTAAAATAGGATTTATTTATATTAAATATTAGAAAAAACAAACTTATAACAATTAAAGGATTTTTTTACATTTTAATACAGCTTTTAAGTTCTCAATTAATTTTGAAATCTATTCTAAAAAAAAAAAACAAGTTATTTTCTTGACCATGTTGGATTAGAAAAAGTAAAAAGGATGGGAGGAAAAAGCTTATTATTTATATTAAAACAGGATCACATAATTTGGATTTTCCTTTGTTGTTTTGAATTATAAATATAAAAAGTCATTTATATATCATATTTATAAGTTTCAATCATTTCATGATCAATATCACAAAGATTATCTGAAATCTGAATTTTTTAGACAATGTTAGTTAATCTTGTGTTCAAATTTTTTATCAACAGGATATCTGAGATCTCAAATACTTGAATACTTTCTAGCATTCAGTATTTGCATTTGCAGACAGTATTTACCCATCTCTAGTATGGCATTATATATAATCTATTATGAATATATATAATGCCATAACACTTCTGTAACAAAACAAACTGAAGAAACATAATTGCAATCTCACTATATTTGTTTCTCTATAAATTTGAATTGTTAAAAGAAAAAAATGTGTAATCAGATAAAAGCATCAAAATAGCTAATTCTTCATACAAGAAAACATAGAACACTACTTTTAATAATACTGAAATACAGTAGAACGTCGTTTATCTGAAAGTCGGTTATCCGAGATGTCAGTTATCCGAAAGAATTCCAGTCGGCAAATTTAAATTTTTGCTAATGCTATGGCGCTGCAATCTTTGGCTACATCTTGGGCTACTCCAATACTTTTTTGTTGGTGTGTGTGTTTTAGCTGGCAGCACTGGCACTTCTGTGTAGTGTTTTTCTGAGGACTGTGTGTCATGCTGAATCGAACGTTTTTGATACTAGATTAACTTCTAAAGCATAATTTTTTTGTTTTTATATTTGCAAATCTCTTAACTTTATTTTGTATTTTGTCCACCACGTTCTCATTCTCCTTTTCGCATTGGGTGATATTGATGTATTCCTTTAAGCCTTGGCGGTAGGTGCTGCGTCTCATGAGGACTAACGTTTTAGATTTATCCGCCCTGGTGAGAATGATCCTGTTACGTTGCATCCACTCGCTCGTGCATCTAAGTTTATTTCTCAGCTCAGTGACCTCAGGTTGTTCTTTAGTTTTCTTCATTCTTAGTGTGGCTAACCATCTGTAGTACTCTTTTTGTGTATCTGGTAGGCTTTTTACTAGGAGTTCCAAATCTGGAATGAGGTCCTTATATCAGCTTATAGGAGGCAGAGGTGCAAAGGTCGGACCATGTTTCAATACATCCATGACGAACTTAGGAGGTTTAACGTTGTCCCATATGACGAATGGGAATGTAGGGTGTTGTCGTCTTTCTGGTACTTGAAATCTTAGTATCCAGTTCAGTTTCTTATGGTAGCGTCTTTTTAGGTTGGCACTTAGACGCTCTTGGATGGGAATTAGAAAACTAAAGAACAACCTGAGGTCACTGAGCTGAGAAATAAACTTAGATGCACGAGCGAGTGGATGCAACGTAACGGGATCATTCTCACCAGGGCGGATAAATCTAAAACGTTAGTCCTCATGAGACGCAGCACCTACCGCCAAGGCTTAAAGGAATACATCAATATCACCCAATGCGAAAAAGAGAATGAGAACGTGGTGGACAAAATACAAAATAAAGTTAAGAGATTTGCAAACTCCTAATTGGCAAAACGCCTTGCATTGGGCAACATAATAGTCGATTCCCCGGATACACCAAGACTTTTTGCATTTGCCAAAACGCACAAAATGGGCCAACAATTACGTCCAATAGTCGATAAAATCAGAGCTCCCACAAGAAAATTGGAGAAAGCCATTCACAACCTACTTTCTCCCCACCTCAAGGGCTACCCGTATACCATCGATAACCCAGTTGAGCTCATCCACCTCCTTCGGGTTTTGTCTTCGACGGCGCAATATATTACCGTGCTAGACTTTAAATCTATGTACCCATCGGTGGAGCTCCCTACAGCTTTTTGCTCCCTTAGGGACTTTTTGCTTAATTTGACTCAAGAACAAGCATTACACCAGCAAGTCATTAAATTAGCCCATCTGATCTGTTATAATTCTATCTTTACGTTTGACGGAGAAGTCTACAAACAAAAAAGTTTTTATATTTTTCAATATATTTATTTTGTTTGTAAAAAAATAAAGAAATAATTTTTAACGATACAATAGCCACGATTATTATTTTAAAAAGTTTACATTAGGCTTAACATAGATGAAAATTTAATGCAAAGCGACACGCAACGGAGAAAATTTCAACATTGGATAAGTTAATATATTTTTTCGTACATAATCGGTTATCTGAAAAATAAGTTATCCGAACAACCCCAGTCCCCAATTGATTCGGATAAACAACACTCTACTGTATATCACAACACAGATAATGAACAGAACCAAATATATAAACTGATTGTTTATTGTGATGTATTTAATGGTATATGATACAAAACTAACAATACTGCAAAAACTCTAGTAAAAATCAAACATCTTTTAGCTTTATAAATATCAATTTTCATAGCCATTTGTTAATTAGTTCTTACCACTAAACTATACTGCAATTTAATTAAGATTATTTTAAATATTTAACTTAACTTTGTTCATTTTAAAATATCAATACTAATATAAGTCCTTTCTTAATATTTAAATATATTACTTACTGATATACATACTGTTATTAATGTTAAACACACATTTACACATTCCCTTTCCAAAACATACAAACAATAAATTTAAACATGAGTTATGATAAATATGTTTTTTATTAAAATATCATCATAAATTTATAAAATATCATATAATAAATGTAGTTTTTATTTCTTATATTTTAACTTTTTATTTTATAAAATAAAAAATATTAATATTTGTTTGCAAAAATAAATTCACTTGTACTTTATATTATATTAAATATAAAAATGTAATATATTTTTTACCTTAGAATACAGAGTAGATTCCATAAGATCTTCCATTGAAAGATCTGTTAAATCAATTCTTAGAATGATTCTTTCATTGGCTTTCAAAACATAATCACATTCAAAGCCTATAAAAGCATTATTTATTAGTTTTCCAGCATTTATTATATTGGAGACAAGATTAAGATTTTCTAAGAAATTTACTGTAACTTAAAAATTAAAAATCAATTTAATAATTTTTAATTTATATTTTAACATAAAATATATATATATATATATATATACATACATATATACATAAACTTTAAAAAAAAAAACAGTGTTTTTATTTTTGATAATAGTTAATATAATAATTAATGCCCTAATATATTAACATTTTTGATTATTCATTAACCCATCATCATTACTTAAGGGCGAGTGCTGTGCTCATCTTTCATTTTAAAACACTTGTAACTCAGGCTTCTTGGAAGTTTTGTGGCCAAACTCTCATCTACCTTTCTACCCAAGTATATCCCCTTCAACAAGATATCAGAATCAAATATAATTGTCATTGCTAAGGTGGCAACCATTTTTTACCGTACTGAAATATCTCATTTCATGGTCTCCCTGGATAGACCAGCATGCCGGACAATCCGCAAGAATACGGTATACTTTCCTGAGAAAGGTCGGTAAAATACGGATGCATATGATCAAAGGTTTCAGAAGTGTATAGAGGACAGATTGACAGCTATTCTATTTTATATACATAAGTAACAAATTTTAAATAATTAAAACTCATATTATCTAACATATAATGAAATTTATAGTTATATACTGTATACTCTACCCATAACCTGTCTAGTACTCAGAAGATAAAGAGATGGAAGAATAATTTACATATTGCATCAAAATTAATCTGTTGGGCAATTCAAGTATAGTTCGAAGATGGTAATTGGTAACTTTAAAAAGTGACAATGTACAGAATGATGTTTTCTGTTATCTGAGTTATCAGTGTTTTCTGCTGATGAGCAGATAACACTGATAACTCATAATCCATTGTCTAATTTTAATCAAATTTGTTTCATTTTGTTTCTATTCTTGTTTGGGGTAAAGGATTCTTAAAAACATGGTGGTATATTGTGCCATTTTTTCTGTATTTAATTACAACAAAATAATCTTCAACTTTTAGTTAGTATACAGATAAATAATAATAAAAGTTATATTTTTAATAAAATCTCACAACAGGCTGGAAAAGTTAAAAACTTGCTGCTGCATTTTTTAACAACATATTGGTTACTTGATCATCCTTATAATGAAATATAATTGCATAGAAACAGAAAAATTGCAGTTGTTAGCCAACAGTTATCAGTTTAAAAGCTAATCTTAACCATTAGGTACCGACATGTGGTCCCTAGGATAGGCCTTATTCTAAGGTTTTTTTCCTACTGCACAAATATCAATTTTGTTTTGGCCAAGCCAATAAATCCTAGTATTAATAAGCTGTTTTAAAAGACACAAATGGAAAATAAGAACAATAACAAAAATCTTATATCTATATAATTATTTATTAATTTCAATCACTGTTCAATCGTAATCATTAGACATGCACGATACGCACTGTGTCTGTATGTGATATAATTTATTATACAATAAGTGTGCTGTGGTTTTGGATTATAGTTAAATTATAATATTGATGTTGCAGCTGCATAAAAAATATCTACTGTACAGTACATATTGAATTCAAATAATAAATGCAACCAACATTTCTTCCATAGCTCTTTTTTCATGGGCCAAATAAAATATACAGTAAAGCCAGTGTAAATCAGAATTGCATGATACCAAATAATTTTTCTGGTTTGGTGGGTTTTCATTTTAAACAGGTTCCTTTTTCAATATGGAAAATCACTCCATTCTATAGAATTTTTTCCATTTAAGCTGGTTTCCTTTTTATTTAGTTTCCATTTTGGATAAGTTTTACTGTACACTTTGGAATTTAGGTAAATATTTTAACTTTAACATAACTAGAAGAAAAAAATACTTATAAAACACAGAATTGGGCAGTTAATTACTGCACAAATATAGGATTCCCACTGCACAATTCAAAATTTCATTACCTATTTTGTGTTCAGTTGCATGTTAGAATATGTGCTGGCCTGGATCATTCAGTTTTACAATCCTGTTTTCTTTTTTTCTCAGTATGTGGATAAGGCCCAACACCTCAATAGCTTCAAGTCATGTCCATACCTATGACATTCTGTAGATTTAGTGTTTCAGAAAAGATTAGATTTTTTTTCCTCTATGATAAGCATGGTCCCAGACTGCACATCAATGATTATGTTAACTTTTCCAGGTACTGGTCAGTGCATACATGTTTTACAGTGAGCCAGCTTTTCTGATAACAGTTTTCTTTGAATGCCCATAAGTATTCTGGAATGTTTCTTGTTCTGATATGATTTGCATTCAAGTCAATCAACAGATGTATCTCATTCAATGTCATCATTTTTTTGAAGCCATTCACTCAGACAAAACTGAAGAAACAGTAAAATAGTAAATATTTTTGAAGCTGATAATAAGTTTTCCACTTCAGAGTGCTCTGCTTGAAATGAGACAAAATTTGGACTACAGATAATTCAAATGATGCACTTAACATTTCTTAAATAAAAAAATAGTACAAAAATCTGTCAATAGGTGGCATTGGAGCACACAGAAATATTGCATATGTGTGCACATATAAATGCTGAATATGTAACGCTAAAACTGCTCGATATGTCCTCCTTCATTTTGAACAATGTGCTTTAATCACAAAATCATACTAAGACATTTCACATATGCACAGGTAATCAGCTGTTATTTTCCTACAGCATGGCCTCTTCGCTCACCTCCAGCTGAACTCATTTCACATTAGCCTACACTATTACAAAGTTTGAAAGGCTTGCTATGAATGAAAAGGGTCAAAGACACTTTCTGTAAACAAAACAATGTATGATGTTGAAATTTGGCACATGCAGATAATACACATTACAGGATTTTTCAATTGACAATTGACAAATTTGAGGAACAACAATTATGTACAGCATAATTACACAAGAAAAATCAATGGAAAATCACCACCTTATTCTTGCAATCATGTTAGGAAAAACTGCTATGATTGCAGATTAATTATCATCAATTTCAATATCATAAATATATTTTACCTGCAATTTTCAAATCAGCCAATTCCATATCTGTATCACATAGCTTTATCTGTATAGTATCAACCCTTGCTGAAATACTAAATTTTGTAGCACCAGAAGGAACTGGAGGATCATTTTCTTCATTCAGCATCAGAATATTAGGTGATGGAATTTCTGGTAAAAGTGTTTTCAGTGCAGAATCTTTTGGCATTATCCTAGATATTCAGAGAAAAATTTTATTTAAAAAATATATTAAGAAATTGAGAATATTTTACTCAAAAAATAAAGATAGACTAAAATTATTCATTAACCCATCATCATTACTTAAGGGCGAGTGCTNTAAACAAATACTATTGCAGAATTCTAATCAGTTATGAAGTTAAATAATTTTATTAATATTTTAATTTTATATTTCTGTTGAATAAAATTAAACAAATTAATAGTGCATTCTTTATAATATACAGTGTAAAAATATAATTAAAAAAAACTGTTTGGTTGAAGTTTCAAATTTGGTTAGAAAAAAAAATAAGACAAAAAAAACAAAGTTTAAAATAAAATTTCAAATGTACTATTTTTATTAAAATTAATATTTAATTATCTACAGGATGCTCCAAAATGAGACCAATAAACTTTGGGTGGTTATAAAAGATCCCATAACAAGTTGTTATTGTCAATAAACTTATGTTTGTAAATAAGCTGTTTGGCATTATACTCCCAGCATAAAGAACAAAGCCATGTTTCTTGCAAGTGTACCCTTCCACTACAAAATCAGCTGATTCCTGTTCAAATATTTTTATTTCTGTATAGCAAACTAGCATGGCAGAGCTAATTATCCAAAGCTGTTACTTTTTATCTGAGTGTTTTTGTTATTTATTGTTTAATTTCATTTGTAAGGATTTTATGTTGTTATAATTGTGATTTGTACACTTTAAACCAGAAATTATTGGGTTTGAAAAAGGCCTTTAAAGATGGTTACTCATTGTCTGATAGTAGGTAAATACCACTCACTACATGTCAGAATCTGACTCCAAACAAACTATTAGAGAGGAAGAATCATTGCTTTCTTGAAGAACATCCAGTTCTCAAAATTGCATCTCCTTGATGACATGTTGGACAAAAGATTTTCACCTCTTGAAAGTAATTTCACTTTCTTTCTCTTTGAATAATTTTTTCACATTGGACAGTTTAAATAGTATTATCCCATGCCACATATCCTTTTACATGACTCCAAGCCAACTCAGTGGGTTTAGTTTGATATGATATGGTGAAAATCAAAGTACAGTACTTCATGGGCTGCAGCAGCAGATACAAAATCTATTTAATAGCAAATGTATCTGTGCTTCTTTCTTTGTACTAAAAGCATTAGTTCAGGCTTCAGTTGTCGGCTGCCAACATATGTCCTTCTCTGTGAGCCCTTTTCTAATGCCATTGTGGTGATATGCCATATTTTGTATATGTTTTAGTGTTAAGCATAATATTAAGTTTCTTAGTCTTTTGTTCTGTATCTAGTCTTTTGTTCTGTATCTCTCTTCTCGACTTTCTGATGGTCTTTCCTTCCTGTGGGTGGGGACGCAGTTTGGGGAACTACACTGAGGAGACAATAGAAAGAGAAAAGCCCTGAGGCGAGTTGGGAAGTAGGTGGACATTATTGGTGGAGCGTTCGTAGAGGACAGACATACAAAGAGCAAGGTCCGAAGCGTTGTCTAGTGGGACGAAAGGAAGACAGGAATTGTCAGCAGTAATAGGAACAAACCATAGTTTCAACATAGTAATTGAGAATTAAGTGAATGATTTTGGAGATATAAACTTTGAAACAAAGAAGAGTAGTGGAAAACAAACTGAGAGTGATCCCTCCACCTGAAAGATTGAAGATTTTCACGAAAAAAACCCCTGGTACCATAAATATTTTCATCATCACCTTCCAAACACCTATTTTATATCTTTCTTCTTTTTCTTTTTTAGTATGTACATTAGTTTTAAGTTTAGTTATAAAGATTCAGGAAAGTCCGACTGTAACACTTATTGTCGCGAAGTGTGCACCCTTTTGTTTGTTAACACTTCATATACAAATGTGTATGTTATAGTCGAGATCCAAGTTAGAATCCTGTGTAAAGAAAACCACCACATGGATCAAATAATAAATTTTGTTTATTATCATTGTACTTACTCTCACTGTTTATTGTACTATCACGTGGGTCAACCACACCATCTTTCTTCCATAAACCTGTAGAGATATTTTCTGACCTTACACTATGGTACAAGGCATTGTGCATTACAATCACATTTGATAATGAAAGTTTTGGCAGCAACTTAAAAAAAATTTTTTTAAATAGATATCACTCATATCCTAATCTACGTACATAGACATAGACATATATTTTATTTCAACACACTAAGCATAGTGTATCTGAGTGCCACATAGGTATAACCCAGTTACAACACTAATTATTGTTACATAAAGATACAGTTTAACAAATGAGGAATGTTAGATGGAGTAAAGTAAGATTGATTACACAAGTCACAGGATTAATACATAATTACAATAGGGTGATAAAACATAAAGAATGTGAGTACAGATGTAGGTACAAATACAAATATAATACAATTCCCAACAAGGTTGCAAGATATTTGCATAATCAGAATAGGAGTAATGACAACATATGATGATGTGCTATATAGTAAATGATTATAAATTTATACATAATAGCAATGAGAATGGTATCACATATCAAATGTGTAATAGAGATAAAAATACAAGTATTTAATGCAATACAAGTGCAAATACATGTATAGGTACAAATACAGTACACAGACAGGTTGTAGTTATGTACATGATAATAATAGAAATGATATAATCAATAGAAGATATAATATTCAGGGCACAAATGCATGTCCAAATGCAAGCACGTATACAAGTACAAGTTGGGATAAGTCCTCAAGGAGGCAAGAATATCAACACATGAGTTTTGAAAAGAATTAGTTGTAAGCAGTGACAGTTGAACATTTAAAGTACTTGTCAATGAGGGTCATGAATGCGTCATAGGTATCCGTGTTGTCGAAAATGCTATTACAGTTGTTTGGCCATTTGACCCCGTGTGCTTCGATAGTGATCTTTAAATGGTGCCTTTCCGAATCCAACATAGGGCAGTCAAAGATGTAGTGCAAACAACTGTCCCCTATGCCACACAAAGAGCAGTTGGGACTGGGAGCATTGAGAAACCTTGCCAAGTAGGAATGGAACCTACTGCGGTTTGTGAGGAATTGACTCATATGATGGTTCGGACTATACCACTTACTGGTGATAAAGTTCTCAATATTAGGGATGAGGCTATAAGTAATAGGGTGGCTCTGTTCATCCCATTCCTGTTGCCAAGAAGCAAGAAGGTCTTTCCAGAGGATGATTTTAACAGTTTTCATGGTCAGTTTGTTGTATGCAGATGAAAGGTTACAATCCTCTCCAGTGGACTTTGCCAGGGCATCGGCTCACTCATTACCAGGCGTGCCCTGGTGGGTGCGTGTCCAGTAGATGCAGTAGGAGTTGCTGGCATTGGTAATGACTAATTGGTAAGACTTCATAGTTTTATCTCATCCACACCTGGACACTGTGTGGCTAGTATTTATCCATATACTAGCTAACTTGAAAATATCTTTCTTCCTTCTGAACAATACTGTCAAATTTATCTGAGATAACTCTGCCTCCATGCTATAATTTCATGATGAGGGCCAATAAAATAGTGGCCAAAAACATTAGAATATTGAATTTCTGTGCTGAAAATTTTGCATTGAGGTGTAATTTCTTATTTACATGTACAGTTCCAGTTTTCTGGTACAGTTGGTGTTTATTGCTATAATTTCATGTTTATTGGACTTTTTCTTGCAATGATTGTAAACATAAAATGTCTAGCACCCCTTCAGGTCAGGTCTGACACCAACTGTGAACTTGGGAGGATTCAAGAGAAGGTGCCCTTCCTCTGGTGGCTGGCAACCTCCTTATTGGATGGTCTAGTGGCAATGGCACCTTTCTGTCAATCTTGTGCTTTTATACCTTTCATCTTCCTCCCAAGTTGTTTCCAAAAATGGTAAAGTCGTACTGCAGTATCCAATCCTTGACTTTCTTTCCTTACTTCCCTGGATAAGTCATTGTCTCAGGAAGAGGTGTCATTTGGATAGGAAGAGTTATCAATGACAGAATCTTGTTAACTTCATCAATTTTCCAAAATTTATGCTTTTTCTAAGCTTTATTTAACATGTTATTTACTTAAAATATTAAAGTTTTAAAAACAATAGCCTGGGATCTCACATAAACAATGCAGATTTCTTTCAGAATTCTACATAATGTTGTTTCATAAATGATTGAGAAATCAAGGACACTATTTACATTGTTCAGTATTTTTTTCAATATTGGTGGCTTATTTCTGAAGAAGTACTTATGTATAGTATAATATCTTGTACTGCAGCAAAAGTAACTGTCACAATTGATATTGCATTTCTTTGCTCCAAATTGCAAGGCCTTTTCTTCTTTGTCATCTGAAAGTTTTCATCTTCCACAAAGATAGTGAAAGACCACACCAATCAGCCTTGTGATTTCTTCAACTGCTTCTTCTATGCTTAGGGTTAAATTAGCCTTCCCTAATGAATGAATATATATTTGGATAACTTGCTTTATTTGACTTCTAATAAGTTTTAACAACCAGGAGAACATTCAAAGACAGTAAATACAACCATTTTGTTATTGTTGTAAATGGCTATACTTCAAACAACTGCTGTAAAAATCATTCTAGTGCCAAAACAACTCATTTGCAAACATGGGTTTATCAACAATAAATATTTGTTACATTTGTCATTCTCATCCAAAGTTTGTCACTCTCATGTTTGTGACATCTTGTGTAATGACATTTTAAAGAACTGTCAATTTTTATTAGCTTCTGACTTATGAATTACATTTGTAGTTTCTGTTCTCAGTTAAAAAACAAATTCTCTCTGAATTTTAGTTCAGATTCAGATATTAGAGAATAAATTACTGAAAATGTAGTCTTTATAATGAAAGATTGTAGCTATATGTTAAAATTTACTTCACAACAATAAAAATTAGGTTAACTTATTTCATAAAAAATGTATGCATTCTTTTCAAGAAATTATCTGAATAATAGCATTCAAAAACTGATTGTTATTATTCAAATAATCTCAAATAATGGCCATTCACTTTACATATGAA